AAAGTTGTGGCTGGAAGATAGTAGAAATCTGTAGGCACGGGAAAGGTGGTTCATGGTGGCAGTGGGTTAGAGAAACCCTTTCAATAAGAGTTGTTTTTTAATTAACATAATTTTAATAAAAATCAGTTTTTTTTCCTTGCCCCAATAATAAGGAAAAATTGATGACTTGGACTGACAGATCAGGGAGTAAACTTCATACGGGAAAAATAGACGGGAGCTGTAGCTGTATTGAAAATTTAATTCACGTTTCGTTAAAAATTTATCGTATAAATGTCAATAAATCAAATTTATATAGAAGATACATTTTTTTTTTGGGGTTATTTTTTCCATAAATTTCTCTTGCCTTCTTATGATAAACGTGAGTTTTATAATTATATGTCTCATTTCTTTATCCACCGACAGATTTGCATTTAAGAGCGCCTATAGATTGCCGGTTTTTATTTTGGTTGCATTATTGTTTCATCTCAACTAGTACAGAGCCCGTGCGATGCACGGGGTTCATAATTTTAAGGCTATTTATTCAGACTTATAATTATATACATGAATAAAGAAAAATGTACGGGATATATATAATACGTGACCCATGCGAAGCACGGGATATATTTATTTGGAGAATATTATATTATAAGATGCAATATTCAATAAAAGTTTATAATACGCAAGAAAATAAAATTGTACAATGTTCAATAAAAGTTTTGTAATATTCAAGTGGTGTCTTAAAGTCTCTTGTACATTAAGACTACTGACAAAATAATATTTCAATCAATGAGTTTCCTTTCCTTGTAGCCAAATTGTGAATGTGATTTGAGGAGTACAACAAATCGATATATAGCTGACTTGCTTTTTTCATTGTAGTTTTTTTTTCTTATTTTTTTATAATGAATTTAAAAATATTCTAAAATATAGCAAAAATTAATTTTTTTATTACAATTAGGAATTTTACTAAATATAGACTCTCAATCTATGTTGTTAATCAACGTTTAAGTCTAAAAAATTAGGAATTCTTACCTTTTTTTAATCAATGTTTAAGTTTAAAAAACAATAGAGTTATTATAAATTTTTTTCTACATCTTTTAAAACATTAAATATGAGCATGTTAGGGCTAGCTTATAAAATAATTAATATATTATCTCACTAAAACATTTATACGAATAAAAATTTAATTTTTTACCATATAATTTATCCCTTGATATAAGAGAAAGTAACAATTTTATTTATTGTTGTTCACCATATAATATTTAATTATTATTTTATTATATAAAAAAAATTGTTAATAGTGTAGTAGAATTGTTATAAAATTATATGATTTTTTTTTTACAATATGGATTTAAAATTTTTTTATTATTTGATAATATAAACAAATCTATACTTAACTTTGACAAATAAAACAAATAAATATTTTAGTAAGTATTTAATGTATATACTAAAATCAAATACCAAATATAATCAAATAAGTCAAAGTGTACATTTTTATTTGGTATTTTATTTTTTTTGTTATTAAAATCTTTTTATTATACTTACCTTTTTAAAATAAAACAAATAAATAAATTAATTAAATAAATAAAATATTATAATACCAAAATAGTAATGACATTTAATGCAGTTGACTTTTCCAGATAGTAAATGTAGTAAATAGAATCTCATTTTATATAAGTATAGATATGATATTATATTATATTGCTCAAAATAGTAATGCATTTATTGCATTGACTTTTCAACTTACTAAATTTCGTAAATGGTACACCTTATTATATAAGTATAGATGTTGGAAATATATATCCTTTTGTTTGCTTTATTCACCACATACATCTTTAAATAAATTAAATTAAATAAATTGATTAATAACTTCGGTTACTATAACTAAATCTCATATAAATTCAAAATTATTTCCTCAAGTCCAAATAAAAAAAAAAAAATAGTTGAGCACACTGAACAAGCATCACTACTAATAGTTTAGTTAGTTACTTTATAAGAAATCTCTTGTATTCATACAAGTTTGGTATGATAACATGATAAATTTATCTCTGTCTAACTTCTTAAAAAAAGTTGTTATTTTTTTTTTCTTATTTCAAATATATCATCTAATTTTATCCAATAACTATAAATTCAAAGTTTACTTACTTATCATTCACATCAACTAGATTTATCGAAACTGTAGTCAATATCTAAGAGCATGTACAATCAATTGAGTCTAATTTTGCCTACGTGACATATAAATAAACTCAAGTTTTGGATGACATGGATAAACCTATATAAAATTAACAAATTTACTCCAATGGAAAGAGACTAGGTCTCTACTTGTGTTTAAAATAGACTTAAGAGTAGGTCGATTCTCTTTTTTCTTGTTGTCATATCAGCAGGACTCAATTTACATACACTTGCATTGGATAATTTAATTTTTAGACTGAGTTTATTTCTTATATGACATATATTTTTTTTTATTATTATTATTATTGAACTCAGATCATTGTGGATGCTCTAAGTACTATGTGCATATACATTCTAAATTTGGAGTAGAAATGTACCTAGAAAATATATTCCAATAATAAAATGATATCAAATAATTAGTAACAAATTATTATACTGACTTTTGTGCATCTGTTCATTAATCAACATCACAGTCGTTGTAATTAGGACCACTGAAAAAACCTCTTTTGTAAAATAGGAAATTTGGGAGTTTCTAAAGAGTAATCTATATATATATAATTGCTAGCTAAGCAATAAATTTTACCTAATAAATAAAACCTAATAAATTTTACCTATGTGGCAAATCATTAATAAAACCTAATAAATAGAACCTAATAAATTTTATTTATGTGACATTAATACACCCAATCTCATTAATAAGAAAATATTTCATTACATTTTTTGGGTTAATTAAGACAAAAACCATTATATTTTATGTTAATTGATTAATAATTATATTTTTTATTGAATAATATAATAGTTAATATTAAAATTAGTAATTATATTTTATACTAAATAATATACGAAAGTTACATAATTTATATTTTACACTAAAACAATATTTTTTTATATGATGAAGATGTTGTTTATTAATAAATTAATTTTTTTTATGTCATAGTAAAATTTCTTAAAATCACATAAGCAATTGTTATAATAAATGTAATATTTTTCAGCTAATTAATTGGTCATGATCACTCAAAATTATAAAAAGTATATATTTATTACATTTTATGCAATCGTGATTCGCCGTGTGTACTATTTATTTTAAACAATGATCAAATTTTAAAATATAATACTATTATATAATTTATAATTTTAATATTATATACATAAATATAACTTATAATACTATATGTTTGAAATATAATACAATTATATCATTTATAATTTTTATATTATATACATAAATATAACTTATAATATTTAATTTTATTTACATCTGTGCAAATGCACAAGGTCGAATACTAGTGAAGATTGAAGACGAAAATGAAGACTGGGCATGGGAAATGAGCCACCAAGTCACCATCAAAATCTAAATATGATGCTTTCTTTTTTATGGATAGACTTGTTATTCGAATCGAGCTATATATGAACACAGTTTGCTTCAAATTGTGAATGATCCTAACTCATTTGTTTATTTAAATGAGTCAAACTCGAATAATTAATCGAGCTCGTTTATTAAATAAGTCGAACTGCAAACACTCTTGTAACAGCCCAGCGATCTAGACCCGTAGTGCGATATTGTCCGTTCTGGGTACTCTCAACCTTCCCCGCACAGTTTTGCCTTTGGGAGCTCGCTCACCAAAACGCGTCACACTAGCGAAGGTATCCACAACCACTTATATGGCATGCTTCGTTCTTTGTTGGGCTGGGTCGATTAGTTGGGCCGGGGGTGTGGGGGCTCCGCCCCCGCGGTACGGTACGGGGTATTTAAGTAAATTTATACCTAGTGGGGTTATAATATAAATACATGGTATATTGATGTATTTGGATGATTGAGAATAATAAAAGATCGCTCCGCCGTGGACGTAGGCACATTGCCGAACCACGTAAATCTTGTGTTGTTTATTTTCTCGTCTTTAATTCGTATTGTCATCGTTTCTCAACACGAACCATGTGCCAGCGAGGACGCTAGGCCCCTGTGAGGGGGATGGATGTAGATATCCCACATCGGTTGTGAAGGAGAACGAAGCATGCCATATAAGTGGTTGTGGATACCTTCACTAGTGTGACGCGTTTTGGTGAGCGAGCTCCCAAAGGCAAAACCGTGCGGGGAAGGTTGATAGTACCCAGAGCGGACAATATCGCACTACGGGTCTAGATCGCTGGGCTGTTACAACTCTTTTTTTGTAGGTTTCAAATGAAATAGTGAAGCTAAACTTGTTTTCGAACAACACATTTAAATAATTTAGGTTTATTAAATGAATTGAGCTCGACTCGAATCATTGGCTTTATTTGTTAAACGAGGCGAGCCGAGGCAGCTTATTTATTAAATGAGCATCGGTTAGAGAAAGAGCTACTTGGCCTACCTCAAAAAATACACCCATTTATGTTTGTTTTATTTTTTATTTTTCTTTCTATCATGTTTGTGATCTTGTAACATTATTGCGTTTTTTCCTATTATATATTTTATTTGATTATAAGTGAAATTAAAGTTTAAGTTTAATTAAATTTTTTATTTTTGTTATTTTAATGTCGTTGCCTTTCATATAGTTTGTTGATATTATTTATCTTTTAATTGTTTTCTGTCGTTTCGATTTGTCTCATGGGCCTGCCGCACAGTCCATAGCGAGTTGGGTCAAGTTGGGTTGAGAGTGAAACAAACCTCGTCCAATAATGTGGGTTGGTTGGATTCAACAAAATCGTAAGCTACAATTTTGGGCTTATACCTCATAATAAAGGACACTCTATGTTCTTTTTAATATATTTATTACTCATTGACACTAGCATGTATGATATTCGACTTTTATCCATTTATTTTTTTATTAGCCTTTTAAAAAGACAAATTTAACTTTTTGGTCTTTGTCCTGGTCGGGATCGCGAGTCCCGGAGGCAGTTTTCGGATCCAGGGTTCGTCTTGGGCTGTAGTTTATGGGACCTTTTCCCGGTGGGTTGCTTTTGGGTGTTTACTTGGTCGCGCGAGAGGTGGGGTTGATGTCCAGTGGGGAGGGCGTTGTTACCTTTAGTATTTTTTTGCGTTTTCGTGTTTTGTGTTGTTTTCTGTTGTTGGTTAGTGTTTCGGTTTCTTCTTTTTTGGTTATCTCGGTTGGGAGCTTTTCTTTCTCCTGTATTAGGAGTTTGTAGGTTCTATTAGTGTGTTGTGGTTTGTTTGTTGTTGGTAGGTAGGCTATATGCTACACTTTGTATAGTTCTCCCACCTAGATTCAACTGGTTGACTGGTTTCTCAGCAGAATTTAATATTTTCTAGTTTGTATTTGTGTGTTTCTTTCAATAAAATCTATCGTTTGGCAAAAAAAAAAAAGAAAAAAAAAGAAAACTTTTTTGCCTCGTTTATTACTTACCTTGATGGGATAAGACAATTTTATCCCATCAACTTTACGCATCAGCTTTTGTCTCATGTTTACATAACATGATACATTTTATCATGAAGCTAATCAAGTATTTACTAATGGTGATAGAAAATTCTGATTTCAATGAAAAGACAGATATACCCTCTATTATTTATATATATTTAAAAAACTAATAAGTTTTAAATTTATCATAAAATTTTTATATATTATATATCAAATTAATAATCACATGATGAGCTTCGATTTGACATCTATGTTGTACATACAAAATAAATAAGTTATTACATTTTTTATAACAAAAATAAATAATCTTATTTTAAATTAATATTTTTAAATTAAATAACATTATTCTAAATTAAATAATATTATTTTATTGTAAAATTAATATTTTTAATTTAAATAACAATATTTTAAATTAAATAAAATTATTATAAATTAAATAATATTTTTTAAATATTTTAAATATTTAAATTATATTATTTTAAATTAAATTAAATTAATTAAATTTATATTTTTTAAATTAAGTAATATTATTTTACATAACTAAAATTATTTAGATTAAATAATATTTTTTAAATAACGCCAACCCGAATTAGGAAGGAGGGAAGCCGAGAAAAACGCCGGCGGGGGGGCCTGCTGAGAAGAATTGACGCTGACCGAGATGGGGAGAAAGGGCATCTGGGGAGTTAGAGAGAAGAGTCTTTTTTCGAATCGCGAATATTATTTGTATATCAAAGTGTTAATAATATTGTATTTCACAATAAATATTTACTATATAAATATATTTACATAGTTTTTCATTTTTAAATAAAAAAATATATAGGAACCGGGTCAACCGGGTTGACTCGACCGGGTTTGTCGGGTTTTGATTGGGTTTGACCGGGTCCATTGTCACCCGGTCCGAATAGCCCAACCGGACCAGTTTCGGCTCTGGGGCGACCGAGTCTCGGGTCGACTGGCCGGGCCAGTCCAGGTTGAAAAACTATGCATAAATATATTTAAATGTAAATATTTATTGTGGAATACAATATTATTAACACTTTGATATACAAATTTTATATACAAAATATTTATTTTTCTTATTTTTATGTATATTTATATGTCAAAAATACTATAGATATAATTTTAGAAATTGTAAAATAAATTATTCAGTTCAACAATTGACTCGGTGACCCGGCAGTTGAACCGATGACCCGGAGACTTGTCCGGGTCAATTTTCGGGCCAAGTTTAAAATATGGAGCCGGCAATTCAAACTGGCCAAGGCCAAAACGGTAAATTCATCCCACGCGACTTGCTCAACCCGTCCAGCCCACCTTCTCTCCTTCGAACCATCGCCGGAGCAAAATCTCTCTCTCTCCTCTCTTTAGATCTACGGAAACTGAATCCAATCCGAGCACAAATCGACCATTTTCTTGTAGAAAATTTCATTGATTTGAAGCTCTAGCGGAGAGGCCTCGCTGGTTTTAACCCATCCAACGATGGGGGATTTCAATCTAGCCCTAGTGATTGTGGCGATCGTCGTCTGCGTGATCGTGTTCATCTTCAACGTCTACCTCCTTGTAAACTACCAGCACCCGGACGATGCCAACCAGGCCTATTTCCCAAAATTCGTCGTCGTCCTTGGGCTCTCTGTCGCCGCCATCTCCATCCTCATGCTCCCTGCGGACGTCGCTAACCGGCAGGCCTGCCGCCACGCGATTTACAACGGCGCCTGCAACCTAACGCTCCCCATGAAGGATTTGTGGCTGGCTATTTACATCGTGGACGCGATTCTCGTTTTCTTTGTCATCCCGTTCGCCATGTTCTATTACGAAGGGGACCAGGATAAGTTGGGGGCTCCTTCTTAACGTTTCGTTTTTCTTGTTCTTACCTTGCGTGGTTGGATTGAGTTTGTGACCCTTTTCGTGTTTCTAAATCAATGTGGCTGTATGTTCTTTTGGGTTTTCAGGAGTGTATGGAAGAGAATGAAAAGCGCATTGATATGGGTGGTTGTGACTGCTGTTGTTTGCGCCCTTGTTCTTGGAATTTTATACGGTAAGGCTGACTTCAAGGATATATTGGTGATTTTCTCGGTTTTGAAACCATTTAGGGCATGGAACTTTAGTTGCAAGCTCTGAATTGCCTAAGTTACTCTGTTCCGATACCTTGTTATCGTAAATCATTTGATTCTTACATGGTTTAATTCTTGTTGTTCCTATTATGTTCTTTCCTAAGTGCATTGTGATCGATGCCTGTAACTTGTAAAGCTATGTGGAACAACAGTAGATTCAGTAAATTTTATTCTTCTAACTTGGCTTATTTTGTGTAATTTTTGGATTATCTATTACCTAGGGCTTGTGGGAAAGGTGGACTTCACGGTTAGGCACCTTTCCTCGTCAACTACATCCTTCCCATCATCATGGGACTTCAACAGCAATCAACAATGTATTGGGAATGGAGCAAGGCAGGTTAGGGATTGTACTGACATGTCAAACATGGTTCCTTTTGATTGTTGAATGTAGTACTGATTATCATTCATCTCTTTTCCTCTTTCAGTGCTCTGCATATATAGCCAGTGCATCATCTGAGACAACTTGGACCATGCAGACTACCTTCCCAGAATATGTTGTTGCACTTGCAACAATTGTTGGATCTGTGCTTTTCACTGTATGTTGGCCTTGCAAATTTCTAGAGTTTTCTGATTTATAAATGAAAACACAAATATGTTTGTTGTACCTTTTTGGGATTTGTTTACTTTGAGCTACATCTCTCTTTCAATTTCATATTATTATTTTGAGCTTAAATTTGTTCTTGCAGATTTTTGGTGGAGTTGGCATTGCTTGCCTTCCACTGGGACTCATATTCTCATTTGTCCGCCGCCCAAAAGCTGTTATTACACGCTCTCAGTATATTAAGGTACGTTTGTTTCATTGTGGCTGCCATTCTTTCCGATTTTTTTCTCTTCCCTTTTGATGTTGTGTGATGCAACTATAGTCTTCAGACAGCGTACCATTTGTAAATGGCCCTTGGTTTTCATCATCGTAGGAAGCAACTGAACTTGCGAAGAAGGCAAGAGAACTTAAAAAAGCTGCTGATGCACTTCACCAAGAAGAAAGGACTGGTAATAAGGGAAGGAAATGGCGTAAAAATGTTAAAAGTGTAGAAAAGGTATGTTGCTTTTTTTTTCTCTGAAATATGTGCTTGCATAATTCTTATAATTGTCCTTTTGGCACAGTGATTGTGTGCCATCCAGATCGCTGCATTACTTGTTTGTTGTATTTGCTTCCAAGTAATTATTAAACATGCCTTCGTTTTTCAATTGCAGGAGCTTCTACTTTTGGAAGAAGACGTTAAGGCTTTGGAAGAAATGTATCCTCAAGGCGAACAGGTGATATAGGAGGGAAAATGAGTGTCTTTGAATTCATATTTATAATGCTTGTGATTGATGTCGACTCCTACTCCTTTTAAGCTAAAAGGAATAGAGGGGAAGGGTAATAATGGTGATGTTGCCAAATTTATGCACCAATGATGATTTTGAAAAATGTATGCAGGCTGAAGCAACCTGGGCTATGACAGTTCTCGGCTACCTTACCAAACTGGTACTTGGAGTTGTTGGGTATGTTATGTTATGCATTGTTTTTTGCGTTGCATTCTCAAATTTGTAGTTATAGTGTTTTGATCAATTGATAATCTGGAATGTGTTCAGTAAACAATGTGCACTGGGCCAGTAGTGTTATTTTATTTGATTACCAGATACCTTAAATAGTTTTTTCACTATCATTTGTTGATATCTTAAAGCTTATTTTTCTTCTTTTTACTTGTTTTCTGTAGTACCTGTTTATATAAATGTCATTGTTACTCAACAAGATCCATTTAAACAGGTTGATCATTTCAGTGGCTTGGGTTGCACATATTGTGATATACTTGCTTATCGACCCTCCTCTTTCTCCATTTCTTAATGAGATCTTCATCAAATTGGATGACGTGTGGGGTAACTATAAAGTTTCTATTTTTAGTGTCTACCTTTACCTTCTTATATGAGGCACACATTTGAGGGCCAACTTGTTTCTTCTTCAAGGTCTTCTGGGTACTGCTGCATTTGCATTCTTCTGCTTCTATTTGCTGCTTGCCGTCATAGCTGGGGCTATGATGCTCGGCCTGAAATTGGTTTTTATTACGATCCATCCTATGAAGTAAGTATATCTTTTACTTCTCTTTTCATGTTNTCGTGTTTCAGTTTCTGCTAATCGATGTTGTCGCCTGACTTGTGAACATATTTTTCTAGGTGGGGAGCTACACTTATGAACTCTTTTCTTTTCAATGTGGGCCTCATTCTTCTTTGCTCAATCAGGTAACTGGTATAACATCTGCTGATTCAGTTTTATGTGCATCTTGAGCGATAATTGACTTTTGCTCCTTTCTCTTTTTGCTCCAATCTCTTCCTTTTGTTTTGAGCCATTTTTGTGTTTATCTTACCATTGGTTCTCTTGGGTTTCATCTCTAGCCTACCCCAACTTGCTTGGGACTAAAAGGCTATGTTGTTGTTGTTTTAGTTCATTATTTTGATGTGCATATATTGATTCTGTTGAGAACTTGACTTTGTCATTTTAGCAATTTCATATAATGTCTTAAGTTATATTTCCCCTTAAATACAATACCCGTGTATTACACGGGTGTTGAATTATAAAGTTTTGTAAAAATATTAAATTTTTTATTTTATCAATGATCAATTAAAGCCAAAGTGACAAATAATAAAAATAAGAGGGAGTATATATATTATTATATATTTTAGTACGGCACATGTTAATTGTGCGACTTATGTGTGTAATATTATAATAAATTTTCTACCTTATAACATATAACTACAGTAAACATAAATATATTAATTGATAAATAATTTTATTTTTTAATTAATTTTAATAAATAACTTTATTATTATTATAAAGATAAATATAATTTATTTATTTTATATATACAATATGGATGTCAAATCGAAACTCATCAAAAGATGATTAATTTGATATATTATATATGTAAAACCGATAAAAAATACAAAAATTATCAACTTTTAAATATATTTGCATATCAATGGTTATAATAGGAAATGATATTAAAATACAATTAATACAAATATTAATTTATATCCAAACCTAAGTCCAAAGCATGATTTTTTGCCAAATAAGATTCTGAAGCATAAGAGTTTGTCAAGTAGGCCCATCGCATTCTGAAATTATATATAGAGGGGATTTCAAAGTTTATCCAGTTAGGATATTGCAGTGTTGGATATCAAGTTGGTTGAGAAATTGCCTCAAAATATTAAAGAAACTTATTTATGCTATTTATTCTCACTCACTTTTGAAGCTCACAATGAATGCGCCCTTTTGGAAAATTCACACCTTGTTTTCGTAAATAAACTTCCGATCATGGCTACTATATACTAATGTTTGGTTGAGCTCTGCAGTGTGATTCAGTTCTGTGCCACAGCATTTGCGTATTATGCTCAAGCTACTGCAGCTCAAGAAATCTTCAGTCACACGTTGCAATCTCTTCGTGGAATTAAATATTTGTACAAGTCAGTTGCCATTTTCTTGTATCTTATTCATTAATTTTAACCCATATATTTGAGTGCTGAAAATTTGTTTTCCGTTCTAGGTACAATGTGTTTCAGATTGGGTTCATAATTTTAGCAGGACTCACATTTGTATATTATGCTGCTTTTGTAAGTTTTCTCAACTAAAAGACCTTTTTCCTCTTTCGTTTTTCACTTTGTGTGGTTTACTTAATTGTTCGTATATGGTTAACTTCTTCAGGGATGGAGAAGAAAAAAGCCTAGCAGCAGGTTCCAGCTATCATCTTAAAAAACCTTGCTGCTACTTGAGACATATTTGAATCTGTATGTGCCGGTTTTCCTGATCCCACAAACATGGTGTTATATTCGCGCGCGCCGTTTTTTTGTTCAATTTGTTACCTGAAGAAGAATACTAACATCATCTTGTGAAAGTTGAATTTGATCAATGCTGCTTTTGATTTTTTTTTTTTTTTTTTNTGTATTATTTTTTTTTTCTTTAATTATTTTGTACGACGATGTTTGTACTAATGTACAAGTGGGGGTGGAATTGAGATTTCGATGTTATTAGGCAAAATTTGAAAATTTTTCCTGTAAATTATTTGTGGTATCTTCTTCTGATGAGCTCTTGTAATCTGACTGAATTTTTTGCATTTTGATTCATGATCCAATGGTCGCTGGGAAGAATTGATTGATATGTAAAGTGAAATGTAGCAAGTTAGGAGAAAATAAAATGAAATACTACTAAAGACGGATACGCAATGTAATCAATTGGAAAATTAGTGAACTTCAGAACCAAGGCAACATTTTTAAACTAAAGCGATACAACCCATTAATATAAGTATGGAGAAAACTATAATCCCATTTCCACGTAGTATTTGTTAGAATAAATATTTACTGTAAATATTTTATTTTCATTTAACCAAAAAGAAGTTCAAACTTATGTTGGAACGATTCAATTCTATCACCTGTATCCAACATAACTCTCCATACCTTAATATTCGGCAACAACCAACCCATTACATTTCTTCTTATCAATTCAAACCCTACCCTAAAATTCCCAGAGTCCTTACCAAACTAGATTTATCCTCACGCAGCTCTATGAATTTATGTATCCTATTTCTTCAGATCCATAGACTATACAACACAAATTCAGTATCCAAATCCTACAAAACTACACACCAGTTTCATTTACTCAATCGCACCAAAAATCCTAAACCAAACATATTAAAATTATAATCAGCCCACAAACCTTGGAAAAATAGGAACTATAATCAGCCAGAAACCTTAGGAAAATAGGATTCGCCCATCACTCGTGACGTCGCCGGCGCCGCTGCTCGTAATACGGCCGATGGTCGATCAGCCGCGCACGTTTCAGAGGAGCAGTTCGCCGCCGCTCGTCAAACAGCATAGGGCCGACGCACAGCCGTGCTACCGCGGCCGCTCGCCGGCCATCGACCATCGCGAACACTGTCGCCGGGCCAAGCCCTAATCATCCACGTCGTTGGTGAGCAGGTCGTCAGATCCCCGCCGGTGGCCACCGCTCATGAATCTGACTCGCCAACCTTTTACCAACCGCCGCTCACGAGCGCGGTCTGTTGTCCGGTTGACGCGTCGCTCCCAGATCCAACCGCCGCAATCAGCTGTTCGTTGCTCACGAGCTGAGCCGTCCTTCCATTTTCAGCACCCGCTGACAGAGGGTGCTTGTGTGTGCGTCACAGGAGCCAGGAGGGAAAGAATTAGAAGAGCGGGAAATGGAAAATTGGGGGTTGGTGGTGAGTGGTGACTGTCTGCGAAAAGAAGAATAGGGGAGAAAATGGAGACGAAAAGGACAAAAAGAGGTTTTGACCAGACAAGGACAAGGTCGTGCACGGTGGAATCAGTCAAGCACGAACATTTTTCAAAGTCATTTCACATGTTAAAGTTGGAGGTAGGGTTTACTTTTCAAGCTAAATTTATTTACAACCCCACTAGGCCATTTTTCTTTCATAAAACATTTTTAGGTTGTGTAACGGGATGGTGTTGGTGATCAGTGATGAGTATAAGTGATATTAAAAGGGTGAAATACATTTTATGTGTAATGATTCACGATGAGTGATGTTATGGTATGATGTGTTCGATAAACGAATAATTTGTACTATGTGTCTGTAAATTGGACTTGTTACCTTATTCTCTGTTATTTTGTATCTTCTTGATAAACTTGTTAGCACGTTTAGATATTGTCGTTACTTGATAAGTTGACTTTAATGAAAGTTTTGTCTATATGATGGTTTGTGACGCTTATTCATAATTTTCTAATGTCTTTTCGTTGTCTTCACGTATGAGGTCACTAGCACAATGATGGTGCATTTCTATTGTCTTGGTACTTGATCTCATGTCCTAAATGATTGCTGGTAAAAATTTAGGATAGATCAATATGTTAAAATAATCTCATTCAACATTCCATAAACCTTTGTTTGGGTGATTTGTATATGTGATTTTATTCTTTGTAATATATAATCAAAGTGCTCGATGAGTTTAAATGTTTATCAATTAGTATGTTAAGCGTTATGTTATTTACTCGTTTACCTCCAATGGTTTCAAAAATTCAATATTTATGTTATGGTAAGATTTTTGTTGACGTCCCAAGAGATTGTTACTCTACGAAAATTTATATGGTGTTAAAATTATAATTATTATCAAAATCCCTTTTACGAAAATAGGGGCATTTATATAAACCACAAAACAATATTCAATAATATTAGAGTTAATATATTGTAAATTAAAAATAAATTCATTAATGTGGAAATAAAATACTCTTGGACTGAATGATTGGGCCTTATAGCTTCAATTGATACCCCAGAGTATTACTTATTTTGGGCTTTAAGCATTTAATAACAAATATAATGAAAGAATAAATTATTGGCCCAGTCCAAGAGCAATTCTCGCTCGCAGGATGGACATTGCTCTTTTCTCTCCCTCTTCGCTTTTCGCCGGCGCCGACGGTAGCTCCTCCGGTAATCGTCCAAATTTATTATTCTCAAAAATGGATTTAACTTTTTAACTTTATTCTATATTTTACTAGAAGATGTTTTCATTCTTCTCCTCAGAAGAGGAAAGGACAGAAAACCATGAGAACTACGAGGAGAGAAAGCACCAGTTTCCTGCAATGGTTTGTCCTTTGTTTCACCATTGTTTCATTATTTTACTTCATCTTTTCTTCATGTGGAGCTTGAAATGTGCTTAGATGATTAATTGCATATTTTAAAATTTGTTTACTTGCTGTAGTTTTAATGTGGATATGAAATTGGATTAGTGGATCAGTGACTGTCACACCGTGCATCGGTGGTTGTACCTTTGCTGGTTGAAATATTGAAGAAGATAGAATGAGTGGTTGGGTAGATTGGTTTTTGGTGGTGTATTTGACTATTTGTATCTCAAAATAGAACGGTAGATTTAGGGGTTAGGATAACTAATGAGATTCAATTAAGGTTTGCATAACTTACTATCCGTATGTGACAGCCTAACCGTGAGGTGGGTCGACCGTCATACTTATTCTTTACTTATTCTTAACAAAAATTCATACTTATACTAGGAAGATGTCATACTTTTGTTTATGTTATTTTCTAGAGAGTGATATTTTGGTTTGAAAGTAAGCATATCTATCTAAAGTCTAACAATTAGGCCTGCTCAATAGTTAATAGCAGCCCAGGAGCAAATATTCGTTTTAGTAAATATTGGTTAGTTTTCGATATTACTGTTAAACTTAAGATATGAGTGTTATTGGCATGCTTTGAGTCTTTCTGTGGCTGTAGCGGAGTTTGCAAGACATTTGAACAATGTATTATTTTCTTGAAACTTCGACAAAACTCCAGTACCCCTTTTTTTTTTTGGCTCTTTTTGGTGAGAATCATCTCCATGAAACTTATTTGTCTCGTTTTGGCTCATGTGCAGGAATTGCTGATCCGGGAATTTTCTTTTCACCAATTAAACGCTAATTTATTATGGCCCGGCACATTTGCATTTGCTGAATGGCTGGTCAAACACAGATCGTGGATAGAGGGAAGGAGAGCACTCGAGCTTGGGAGGTATAAAAACTGTTTCATCTTAAAGTTAAAACAATGCTTTAATGCCTCATTTCGTTTTGTGCTGTTGAGTTATATTTTCAAAGTTTTTTGTATTCATTTTTGGAACGCTTGTATAAATCTCTCGGCATTCACCTCACTGTAGCGGAACCGGAGCTTTAGCAATCTTCTTGAGAAAATCTTTTCAACTCGACATTACGACATCTGACTATGACGATGCTGAAATTGAAGAGAATATAGTGTACAATTCCCGGATAAATGGAGTTATCCCTGCTCTTCCTCATGTGAGACGTAAGCTCTTTTGGCAAATTTGAACTTTGAGATTTTATTTTAGTTTATATTTTACTTCTTTATAAATAAGATCTGGATTTTTACTATTTTGCAGATTCTTGGGGAGATGTATTCCCGATTCCCGAACCAGACTGGGACCTAATTATTGCGAGTGATATTTTACTTTGTAAGTGCTGCAGCTCAATCTGTAGAAAATAGTAATTTGACATGTTAAGAGTGTTTTGAATTTGGATGTTTTGAATTGCACTATAAATTTGTCTGTTTTTGTTATTACCAAATTTTTCATATCGTATTTTCTATCCGTGGTTCAGATGGTCGATAATTTTCATATATGTACAATGTATGAACACAAAAATTTGTCACAATGGCCTAGACTGATATGAGGAACCATTACTTTTGCAGATGTTAAACAATACCCCAACCTTATAAAGTCATTATCATTTCTCCTTAAATCTTACAAACCAAAAGCTGGTGAGGTCTTTGCTCGTAACAGAGGGCAAAACGGTAAATGTTCCACTTGCTTTATTTTTATGACAGGGACACTTAATCATACTTTACAAAAACTACCCTCTATTGAACGATAGGACTCTTTTTTTGGGTAATTAGGCTACAGCTTTGGGGTAGTTTTGTAATTGATGCTTATTTTCAATACACCTCAGACGAATGCCCGCTCGGTTGGCCAGCATTCGTGATGAGCTGGCGGCGAAGGATAGGAAAAGAAGAAGAATCGCTTTTCTTTACTGGGTGTGAGGAAGCTGGTCTGAAAGTCGATCATCTTGGGTCACGTGTGTATTGTATCACACAAGCAGGAAAAAACAGAGTCGAATGAAAGGTATTAAATGGGAAATTTGACGAGTAAGCAAATGTACTCAGGTTGTACTCGATTGGAAGTTGTGTTTGGGAATATTGTTCAGGCTAAAAAATTGTGTGTACAAGTAGCATTTTCCATACATTTTCCCTATACAAAATTTGCCATCAATTTCTGCATTTATACATCATTATTTTGCTCAGAATCACTTGAACCAGTTGATAGATAATATATATGACTGGTTTGTAAAATGGCCATACTTTTCTTGAGAAAAATTCATACTTCATATGAGAAAGGATACATTTCATTGAACTGTAATGTTTTGTTAGGATGAATCTATTAATTAGTTAAAATGCTGCTAGATAACTTTTTTATGGAATCTATATATATATAATAAGAATTATCATTTACCAAAAATAGTAGTAAAAAATTTTAGAAGCATTTAATGCATGCCTTTTTTTAGAAACATTTTAAATATACGCATTAATTATTTTCATATATACGTTTTCAAATAAGATCAAATCAGATATGATCATAAATATTGTTTCCTTAAATAATTTTATTAATATCTGCAATAATTTCATTGATATCTATTACAATAAATTACAAGATTGATTTTTCGTGATTCATGTTGATAATATTTTGGTTCAAAATAAATATTACAACATATTGTAAGTTCTAACTATAATATTAATTTTTTTTTCACAAATATTCACTTTTTATTTAAAAATATTTATAGAAAGTATAGGTATAATTTTTTCTTCCAATTAATCAGGCGAAATCAAGTTGGTGAATTAGTCTTTGTCAATATAATTTTTTCTTAAGTTTTATTTCATTATATATGAAAAATAATTATTCTTCAAAGTAATATAATTTACCATTTAAGAGGTAATGACCAGATACATTAAATAGTTGTACTAATAGTAAAAAATTAAAATCGAAATATATTAACTGTTCTAGAATTTATTTATATATTATTGACAACCATGATTATTTATTTTTATTATTTTTTTATTTTGATTTCTTTCAAACTTTTGTAAAATATATTTTCATTGTAGAGTATGCAATATAAAATATAAATTCTTATAATGCAAATTAGAAAAATCTTGATTATAGAATGGATTGAGTTTTTGACATTTGCTAAATCGAAGTTGTTTAATTATTATACGAAATTAAATTCTAGAGAAACACGTGTGTACATTTTGCAAACTACTTATACAATATTTAATTTAAAATTTATTTACATATTTTAAATTGATTACATAAATAAATAATACTAACGTGTATTATATATTTTTCATTACATAAGATAAAAAAATGTATAACTTCTATAACTTTTATAAATAAGAATGATATTATATGACAACAAATTTATAATAAAATAATAATTAAGTATTATATGGTGAACAATAATAAGTAAAACTGTTATTTTCTCTTATATCAATGAATAAATATATATACTAAAATCAAATTTATATTAGTATAATTGTGTTAGTGAGATAATATATTAATTATTTTACAAGCTAGCCCTAACATGTTCATATTTACTGTTCTGGCTAAAAAAACGACGCTGATTAAAAAATGTGAAAAATAGATCATAACAATATTATTTTTTAGACTTAATAATTAAAAGAGGTGAAAAATAGTTGGTAACCCTATTTCTTTTAGACTTAAACGAACAGAGCTTGTGAAAATAACTCATTTAATATCTTTAGTCCGTGCATCGCACGGGGTACGTACTAGTACTAAATATTTGATTTTTTAAAAATGAATCTATTAATTCCCACCCATTTTGTAAATTTGTAAATTTGTGGTGATTCTAGGTATGGCTTACAAAATATAAAAGTAGTTATAAGACATTTTAGTTTTATTCAATAATACTTATGTTGCTCAAGTCTAGTTGTAATATCCCATTCAGTAATTAATAAAAGTAATTATTTTTAGTTCTAAATTTGAACTAATTACTTTTATTAATAATTCTCGTTCCTAGTTTAGAGCCCAGTTATTAAGTTATAAATGTTCAAAGAAGTGAGAAAATTTATTTAGACAATTTAGTCTATTTAAATTATTAGAGAGAAATATGAAATTTTTAGAATTTGCGTTTTTCGATTGTAGTCGGAATTTATGTCCGATTTCAGTTCCGAAAAATACATTAAATTATTTTCTCTCTATATTTTTAGTAGAATACAAGATAAGAAAAATTTTTCAGCATAAAAAAATGAAAAATACAAAAAGAAAAGAAGGAAATTCGAAAACTGTAAGAATTTTCGATTTTTCGGTAACTGTTCGTTTTAAGTCAGAATTTGGTTCCGTAAATTGGAGAATTTTCACTAAATCTCGAATTTAATCATTAAGATCAGATTAGGATCATAAGAGGGGCCTTTCTAAGCATTGACTATGAGTTGGAGAAGTTTACATGTTAAGAATACTATTTATTATCTATATTTATTTTTACAAATTGTATTGTTTATTATGATCCAAAATTCACTCTATTTGGATGTTTGTCCAAATTATCTAAGTATATAATATGTTTGGAGAGTTGAATAAGTTGATCATAAAATATTTTATGAGTATTTAAAGATATAAGTTACATTTGTTTATGAGTATTTAAAGATATAAGGTACATTTGTTTATTATGAACAAAAAATTCACTATATTTGGATATTTCTCACAATTGTGCCTATAAATAGAGGCCTAAAATTCAGAGTTTTTCACACCAAAATAAAGTTCCAAAGTTAAATAAGAGTGAAAGAGAGAATGAGTGGGAGAAACTTTGGAGAAGTAAAGAAGAATGAAGTTTTTACTCTAGCAAGAAGGAGGTAATTTAATTATCTTAAAGTTACATGCTTAAGTTCATGTTTTGAAAATGAGTTTACATGTTTATGAGTATGTATATCATGATTTAGAAGTTGAAGTTTATAATTGATACAAAGAGTTAAAGATGTTAAAGATCAATTATATGATATATGTACTTGAGGTGATAAGATGATAAATTGCATGAGATTTTCATAAAGATATGAATATGCTGGAAAAGTATGATTTAAATGAATGATTCTTATGTAAAAGAGGGGTACATGAGATCAAGAATTAAGTGATTTGGCAAAGTATAACTTGAGTTATGAATTTTTGAAGATGAACATGTAAGATGAAGCTTATGTTCACTATTGAAGTTAAAGTTTTCATAACTTGATGAATATACATGATTAACTTATGAAATTTTGATGATATGTCTAAATATAAGATGAGATTATGACTGTTAAGTTTCATAATTTAAAGATGAGAAATGAGTGAGTTATGAATATTAGAAGGCATATATGTGAAGATGAGTATATATATGCAAGAATATTTATGATATGTTCAAATTGTTAAAATGAGATTTTCATGATTTATTCTCATATGAGTGATGAGCAATTTGACAAAGTTTTGATTTAATATGTTGAGTATACAATTTTATAAAAAAAAAAATTTGTATTAAATATGGCATATTAATATCATTAAATGATGAGATGAGTATGCTTGAGTTTATTTTCACTTTCAAGTTATTTAAGTGAAAAGTGAGTATAAGCCAATATCTATAAATTGAGAGATGGATTAAGTACTTGATTAAGTTAAAGATCAAGATGAATTTATATATCTTGATGAGGATGTTAAAAGTTAAGTATTTAATCAATTATAAATGTGAAATGTAGTTATTTTCACATTTGAGTTATGACATGATAAGTTTAATACCATATTGATGTTTATGAAGTCATGATTTATACAAGGTTAAGTAATTGACTTTAAGTATATGTAAAAAGTGGAGTTAAGTATAAACTTGAGAATAAGCAAGTGGGATAAGTTAATAATCTTAAGAACTTATTGAGTATATGAGCATAGTACTTAGTATATTTGTCTATATTTGATTTAACTTGCAGATACAGTATCAGTACAGCACTTATCGAGTTACAAACGATTTCAAAGATGAAAAGGTGGGGACCCTGAACGGGTATCACATTGAGTACGATATTGATGTCATATGGGATGAGGAGACATTAAGTTGTCTCGGAGTATATCCTAAAGTTCTAATGGAGGCCGTTGAGTTGCCTTGAGAAATATCCATTAGATGAGTATATCCTAAAGTTATGAGTTTATTACGCTTGGGAAGAAGGCCGCCGAGTTGCCTTACGAGTACTTCCTAAGTTCTGATGGAGGCCGCTGAGTTGCCTGAGAAATATCCATCAGAGTGTGCACACGTATCCGACTAACTATCGGAAAGAGAAGAGAAAAGTTTGAGTTGCCGATGAATATCGGTTTATGATTATCCATATTCGTTACTCACCCCCATGAGTTTTAGTTTCAGGTAACAGGTCGAAGAGGAGGTGTGAGTGGAGCAGTGTTGGTGTGGATCGTGGATTCAGATGAAGACAAGCTTTGATACGGACATTTAAAACAGTCTGTATAATTAACTACGTTTTTAAGTATTTCCGCTACGCATATTGAGACTTGAACTTGCATTTTAATGAATTTCAGATTTCAAGTTTTTACCATTATGAGAAATATGATTATGGTATTTTAAATGCAAGTTTAAAGAAAATCTGTTTTAATTATGTCTAAAGAAGTATTAGACAAAAAGTTTAAAGATAAACGGATTTTTAAGATGATGAGTTTGAGTAGCATCCCGAGTTAGTCGCAAAAGATTTCAAAAGAGTTAAGTATATTCGAAGTAAAAGTTGCGAAAAATTTACTCTGATAAGCGGGGTGTTACAGGTGGTATCAGAGCTAAAAGTTTAAATGCTCTGCATACTAAAATTTTAAGTTTCTGAAAGAGAAAGTTTTCAGAAAAGTTCAAGTTTTACAAGAAGTTTCAAGACAACCCGACCACACCACGCTCACACCTCGTCGACTACCAGGTAAGTGCTGTTAAAAGTTTTATTCAAGTTTTTCAATATATTCAAATTTACTAAGTCTATGCTCAATAAGAAATCAGATGTACAAACTCTAGTAAATTGTACATATATGTTCAAGTATTAAAGTGAAATCTAGTTTATCAAGTTAACTAGATCAAGAATATGAACTTGAACATTACAAGTTAAGCCATAAGAATAAGATTCAAGTTATGAAATGATCATAAAGATGAAGATGTAAAGATGAGATTTAAGTTATGATATGATCATAAAAGACTAAAGATATACGAATGAGATGTAAATTATGATATGATTATCAAGATTTACAATGAGATTCAAGTTAAGAAATGATTATAAAGATTGATGAGGAATTTAAGCTAAGAAGTA